TTTTTTCTGATACATATTCAACCCATTTCCTCCATTTTCCCAGAAAGGCATCCTTCTTTAAATTAACCAAAAAAGTGATCTTTTCCATTGTATAAATCTCTATGGTCACATCTATCCAATCATCTAAAGTTGGTCTCTTGTTTGAACCATTTACGTGTGATTGCTTTCTTACTGGCTGCCATAAGCACACCCATCAGGTATTTATTATCTGCTGTTACTATATCTGGACATACGCAGCCAAAATACAACAATTTGCTTTTTAAAGGTATGTCTCTTCCAAAAATATATTTAAGTGCCTCCTGTATTTCTTTCCAGTATTCTTGAATATGTAGGCATTCCCAAAATATATGATAATGGTTTGCTTCATTACATCCACAGTTTCGCCAACATTTTGAAGAAATATTACTGTATTTGGCTGTTTGTACTGGTGTTTTAAAATATCCAATAATGTTTTTCCAACAATATTCCTTCCAATTTAATGAACTAGTTGATTTCCATTGAAATTTCCATATATTAGAGCACTCTTCATCAGTAAAGATTATTCCACATTCTGTCCTCCATTTCTCTTTGATATAATTGTAGAGTGTGTTTTCATATTTTCCAAACTCTTGTATATCTGGGAAACTATCTTATATCTAATACCTAATGTGTGTGCCTTCTTAAGTAGGTCTACCAATGGATTCAAATTATCTTTGATTTTTCCTTTTATATTTTTATCATAATAATTTAGAACCTGGAGGTATCTGTAGAAATCCTGATTTTCTAGAAAAAACTTTTCCTTTAGCAGTTGAACATTTAAAATTTCACCTTTCTCAGTGATGGTGCAGAAAGAAGTAATTCCCCTATTTGCCCACAATTTAAATCTGCTATCTAACCTGTTTGGGGTAAAGTCTGAATCATAAGCAATCCATTTCAAAACTGTACTGTATTCCAACAAATTAAATTCCTTTACCACTGTTGTCCAAACATTTAAAGTAAGTTTTGTCCATGGGATTTCTATCTTTTCTATATACTGCAAATGATTTTAACCAGTTTCTGTTTTGTTTTTTTCATAGCAATATCTGGCAACACTGCATCACCGGCACTTAAACTGGCAGTAATCAAAAAAGCCCACGGACAGGTTATTACTGACAGGATAGCACATTTGGTAAGGCAAACGCAACAAATATCATGATATTATCTGTCAAAAACGTTATCAACGCTGTCAAAAACAGTAGCGTTTAACACAAATACAAGATCTGCAGAACAAGTGGGTTACAGAATTAAATGAAATACGCAAACACTAGCCATGAAGAAGTCTATGCTTTTTCATTCAGTATAGTAGTTAAATTTTCACAAATCATGCTATAAACATTCATAAGAACTCTAGACAAAGTTATCAGCTATATAGTTATTAATGAAAACTATAACAGTAATATATATCGTTGCATGAATAATAAACAACTGACACAATTATCCATGCCTCACCTGTATTAAAGTATTAACTAATTTGGATGCAATATGATATAATTTAACAATGTTCATCTTTTCAAAACAGAGAAAACATCTTTCACAAACACCTACATGTCTGTCTCTGTTAAAGTGTTAGTGTATATAACGAGTTTATTATTATAGCGCAGTGTTTTAACCCCACCCCAGACATTACTAATGTTCAAACCCAGGCTACAGCCGTGATGGCACTTCATCTAGATGTGAAGCTGCATCTCTCTATATGAAGCACAGGCTTTATTCAGCCCACAGAAAGACATGGACATGTAAATACACATTATTGCAGCCTGAAGTCGTTATGTCATGTTGAAGAACGCAGAGAAACAAACAGCACTGGACCCCATGACTTCTGCAGAGGAAAACCCTCTTGAAGACCTGTTATCAAATCCTGAAATATTTACTTTGGGAATTATCCCTAAGAATATAGTTCACTGTGGCAGCACGCGTGAATGTGTTGATACTAGTATACTTCAAGCAAAGCGTCTGATATCTTTGTACTGAAGAGAGCGGAAGGCCATCTGTCGTACAGTGGATCAATAACATCTTCTGTTTAGCGATGGGAAAGGTAACTTATATGTTGAAAGGTAAACTTTCTTCTTTTGAGAAAATGTGGACACCCTTTATATCTTTTATATCAAATTCAGATTTTGGCAATGTACTGAATGAGTCAGGAGAAGACAACTTGACATTGTTATATTCTGTTACATCTCAATAAAGACTGAAAAGCTCCTCCAGAGAGAGTAAGGGCAAAGCTGTGAAGATGAACTGAATATTGTTGGTGTGTGAATCTCTGACACTAGATGGAGACAGAAACCTGGAGAACTTCTGCAAAGAGTCAAGCACGACTGGCACTAGAAATACTGATCAACCAGGGGCCCGGGGCCACTACAGGCACTCGAGATGACTACAGCGATTTAAAATAAGACAAAACACGCATGAGAATGAGCTGAGACAACTGAAACTAAAGATATTTTTATTTCCCACCTCATCAACTGTTTTCTGTCTTTGAAGAAGGAGGATTCACAAGGTTTTGTAAAATCTGGATAAATAAGGAAGCCTCGTCTTAAAAAATTAATTTCTAGACCTTAAAAGTCACAGAAATTCATCAAATTTTAAAATGATGAACATATCATAATCAGCATGCATTTTAATATTTATGCCAGCATCTAAAACATTTTACTCATAAAATGTGTGAGTAAAGTTAGAGAGAGTTTAGCTAGAGAGAAACATTCAACTCTTTTAAATTATTTGAATCATTGTAGTGACATATTTATGTGAAACAAATGATTTCTCACATCATACATGAGCGTCTGCTGGTGGTGACTTCATCATCATCATCATCATCATCAGGACACCTACAGCTTTGGCTTCATTTCATCTGATGATTCTATGAGAATCCTGCAGAAAATGATCTAAAACCAGATAAAATCACTTGTGTTCAGAAAACAGACGGCAGAATGTG